CGCTCACCACCATATATTCCGACCTGGTAAAGACCCGTCCGAAGTGTTTCCGAAGTGATGTCATCAATGCCTGCAACCTAGTAGTACTGACCTGACCAAAAGTACCTCGCCCCCGAGGTCGAGGCCAAGTGGACCCCGGTTAGAAGATCCGCCGCCAATTTCAGAAAAAGATTTGTGCCAAGATCTTTCCTGCACCTAAGGTTTAAATTGATTTGACGTCTCCATGAGGCTAGATGATGTGACTTATCAACTTTATATCAATTCAACTCAGAAGAGACAAGCTGTCCACCCACTCTACAGACGCGGCTGATTGACGCCTATGAGCGAACGCCTCATACCGTCAGATGTATACACGCGTCCCACATCCAACGGCTCATACCACCTATAAATACCCAAGGTTTGGCAAGAGGCAAAGGTAATAAAACTCTTACTACATAGCACTCCATAGCAAACTTATATATTTTCTCCTCTCCCATTATCATTGATTTGAACAGCCCGTGGGTATTGTTCCGACCACTTAAACCTGACTTGACCGTCGGAGTGTATACGGCTGTCACCACCCTCGCTGGTCCCGACCGTGTGCATCTGACCATTCGCTGATTGTGCGCAGGGAGGAATACGTAGAGTAGCTCTCGGTTGGCCACGTGGAAGAACCAATTTTCGAGGTCAACAGATTGGCGCCGTCTGTGGAAGTCACTTCCCATTCGAAGTTTTGCATTCTCTATCGGAGAAGTTACCGGAAAACTAGCAACTAACCCTGAAAATGGGACATTCTTGAAAAAGAATAAAGTCGAGTTATAATCCAAGTTCTCACTACCCTTGGAAAAAGAGATAGGATAAACGATAGCCATGAAGACGACAACCCCATGAAAGAGGCCTCTAAAGAAGAGGTACTTCATAACAATATTACTCATCAGAGACCACATCACCGACGTCGCCGAGGTGGAAGAACAATCATGCTTACTGAAGGAATGGCTCAAATAGCTGCAGGTATGAGAGACGTTGCAGCTTAGAATATGACAATGCATGAACTCCTCATGCAAGCCCAGGGTCATCAGGGCTATCAAATGCCCCAAGGATCTTATCCGGTGCGGGAAGCCCCTGTATCTCACTCTCGAGGCCACATGAACCGGCACACAGAACGTCCCCCCGAAAGGGAGATGAACGCCGAAGCCACATCTTATGTGCAAGGGAGTTAGCCATCAGAACCACGCTTGGGGGACCATTTCCCTCAAGAACATGAGGACCAAAGGTCGGTAAGCGTCTTTGACTGAATAGGAAAGGGTCCTAGCAATAAGGTCCGCCCAGCAAGAGGATCAGTTCATCCAGATCACGAACAAGAACATGCTCCCCCTCCTAGGAATAGGAGAGACAAGAGGAACCTAGTCGATTGGAGAAGTCGAGGAGAAGCACCTCCACCTCCCCGGAACATCCAAGATGATGAAGGGTCAGATGGGCCCTGTCGATCTTATGAGATTGACGATGATGATGATAACTTCCCGTTCTCAAGGGAGATCCGAAGCAGAGCCTTCCATTTAACGTTAGGCGGGGCCGTCGAAGTATGGTACAGTAGGCTCCTCCCCTAAGTATCAGAAGTTGGCCAGATTTGAAGAAAGCATTTTTGAACTAGGACCTCTCACGCAGGGAAGGAGAGGCACCAATGCAGCACCTGCAAGATATGAGGCAGGCCCCTTGGGGAGACGCTGAAAAGCTATCTCACTAGGTTTACAGACGAAATCACCTACTGCGAACAGGTCACGCCTCTGAACAAGGGTATACCTCTGAACAAGTGGGAGACGTCGACATGGAAGAGGTCCCTGAACAAGGACACCCTCTTGATGAGTTAGATCCCCGAATAATTGACTCTGAACCAAATGCGACCCCAATGGAAGAATTGGAGATTTTCCCCGTCAACCAGAAGACCCCAATCAGGTCTTGCGTATAGGAAAGTCATTGTCCCCTGAAGCAAAAGCAGAGATGATAAGCTTTTTGAAAGGGAACCTGGATGTCTTCGCATGGAAACATGAAGATATGGTGGGAATAGATCCTAGGGTCAGTTGTCATCACTTTAATATCAATCCTTCCTATGCCCCCCATAGATAGAAGAGGCGTGCCCTCAATCTGGAAAGGTACAAGGCACTGAAAGGCGAAGTAAACAAACTTAGCTGCAGTGGTTTCATAAGAGAGGCCATCTATCCAAGGTGGATATCCAACCCGGTCCTGGTGAAAAAACCCAGCGAAAAGTGGAGGGTATGCGTGGACTTCACGAACCTAAATAAGGCATGCCCCAAAGACAGCTTCTCACTTCCAAGAATAGATCAACTTGTGGATTCTACTGCTGGACATATACTGAGTTTCATGGATGCATACTCAGGGTATAACCAGATACCCATGTTCCGACCTGATGAGTAAGCTACATCTTTCATTACGGACAGGGGTCTGTATTACTACAAAGTCATGCCCTTCGGATTGAAGAATGCCGGAGCTACATATCAAAGGTTGGTCAACATGATGTTTGCCGAACTCATTGGCAAAACCATGGAGGTTTACGTGGATGACATGTTGGTCAAAAACCTCCAGGCAGCCGAACACGTGAGTCACCTCAACCAAACTTTTCAGATACTTAGAAAGTATAATATGAAATTGAATCCCCTCAAGTACACCTTTGGAGTGGCATCGGGCCAGTTCTTGGGGTATATTGTAAATCGGAGAACAAAATGAGGTGAATCTAGTGAAAGCGACGGCCTTGCTAGAAATGAGGTCACCTCAGAAATCGAAGGAGGTCCAAAGTCTCAACGGTCGGATAGCCGCACTCAGTCGCTTTATCTCCAGAGCCACAGATAAAAGCTTGCCTTTCTTCAATGTGCTGAAACAATGAAAGAAATTCCAATGGATTTCGGAGTGTGAAGAAGCCTTCGAGACTCTGAAAAAGCACCTTGGAGAGGCGCCCCTCTTGTCAAAACCTCAACCGGATGAATCTCTACTGCTGTACCTAGCGGTTTCGGACGTGGTGGTCAGTGCAGTCCTAATCAGGGAAAAAAAGAGCGCCAATTGCTAGTGTACTACATCAACAAAGCACTTCTCCCAACTGAAACACGCTACCCAGACATGAAAAAACTGGCACTTGCCTTTATCACAGCCTCAAAAAAGCTGAGGCCATACTTCCAAGCCCACTCAATACAAGTTCTCACCAATTTCCCACTAAAGCAGGTGATGCAGAAAATAAACGCATCAGGACGCCTGTTAAAATGGGCAATCGAGCTCAGCGAGTTCGATCTAACGTTCCGACCTCAACATGCCATCAAGGGTCAGGCCCTTGCTGATTTTATGGTTGAGTTTGCCAAAGCCCCAGAAATGGAGGCGATAATGGAACCAGCCGAGCCCTCCAAATGGAAACTGTTCGTAGATGGGTCCTCAGGAGAAGCTGGCGCAGGGGCAGGGATTGTATTGGAAAGCCCGGAAGGCTACAACTAAATTGTGCAATGAGGTTCGACTTCAAAGTCTCGAACAATGTCGCCGAATACGAGGCCTTTTTGGCAGGTCTTACACTCGCTAAGGAGATTCGGGTCAGGAGGCTCCTGGCGAGCAATGACTCCCAGCTTATAGTAAATCAGGTCAATGGAAACTTCGCAGCCAAAGATGGTAACATGATTATGTACTTGAAGTTGGTTCTGGACATAATTCCTCATTTTGAAAGGTTCGAACTGACTCAAGTCCCCCATTTAGAGAATGTACATGCAGACGCCCTCTCAAAATTGGCCAGCAGCATGGACTCAGAGCTGCTAAACTTCGTCCCTATTGAGCACTTATCAAAGCCATCCACCTCCGAAGGTGAAGAGATACTATGGATAGAAGGCACCCCATTATAGATGCAGCCCATCATCGCCTACCTGAAGGAGCAGACACTGCTTGCTTCCAGAGGCGAGGCGAGGAAGTTAAGAAGAAGGGATGCACACTTCGTCCTGCAAGAAGATACCCTTTACAAGAGAGGCTTTGCCTCGCCGCTTCTTCGATGTGTAGGAGGCGAAGAGGCCACATACATACTCAGGGAAATCCATAAATGAATCTGCGAAAATCACTCCGAAGGAACGGCTCTGGCACACAAGGTTTTTCGTCAAGGCTACTTCTGGCCGACCCTAAAAAGGGATACTTGCCAGTTTGTCCAGAAACGTGATAAGTGCCAGCGCTTCTCGAACATACAAAGACAACCTGCTCAGAGCCTCTCCTTAGTAACCAGCCCTTGGCCGTTCGTCAACTGGGGCATTGACTTCATTGGTCCACTCCCAAAAGGGAGAGGAAGTGCAACTTTCGCCATTGACTACTTCACTAAGTGGGTTGAAGCTAAACCCCTTGCCAGAATTACCGAGGCTAATACTACCAAATTCATTTGGAAAAACATCATTTGTAGATTCGGCATTCCCCACTCCTTAGTGTCTGATAATGGAAGGCAGTTCGACAACAGGAAGATACGAAACTTATGCGACGAACTGGGTATAAAGAATGACTTCTCGACACCTCATCACCTCCAAGCGAATGGGCAAGTTGAAGCAGTGAACAAGACTATCAAACACACCCTGAATAGGAAACTTGATACCTCAAAAGGGGCCTGGGTTGATGAACTCCCCCACGTCCTCTGGGCTATCAGGACTTTTTGCCGGACTGCAACCGATGAAACCCCATTTTCCATGACCTACGGAGCCAAGGCCATGAGTCCGGTCGAAGTCGGGGTCCCATCACATCGACGAGTACATTTCAATGAGATCAGTAACGACGAGGTTCGAATAAGCGAACTACACCTCCTTGAGGAAATGAGAGAGACCTCCCAAGTGATCTTGGCAAAATATCATCGAAAGATGACCCGCTATTACAACTCCAAGGTCAGAAGTAGAACCCTTCGCCTGGGCGACCTCGTCCTCAGAAGAGTCTTCCAATCTTCAAAACCAACCGGGTCAGGAGTGTTTGGCCCGAACTGGGAAGGCCCTTACCACATCCACAGGGAATCCCGACCTGGTACCTTCGAAATCGAAGATATGGCAGGAACGGCGCTGCCTCATCAGTGAAACATCGAACACTTGAGGAAGTACTATCAATGATGAGACTGTATTTCGATCCGATCTCAGTATGTTGTAATGAATCGATTGTTTTGATATGATCTCGATTTTAAAATTCCCTAAGTGATGGAATTGCCTTATTAAAGGGTGGTGTAATTTATCTTAAGTAATGAAGCTTCGGTTCCGAGCCACATCAGTTAGTAAATAGTTTCCTCAGTCCTTCAGAAGGTTCATTTAAGCGATCCGATCTTCAATTATTAGCTGATTAACGTTAATGGGCTCTTAATGTTCACTTAAGTGATTAAACTTATTAATACTTAAGTGGTCCGATCTCAAATTATTAACAGGTTAGCATTAAGAGTCGCTTCATACTTGCTTAAGTAATTAAACTTATTAATACTTAAGTGGTCCGATCTCAAATTATTAATCGGTTAGCATTAAGAGTCGCTTCATACTCGCTTAAGTGATTAAACTTATTAATACTTGAGTGGGCCGGTCCGCAGTTATTAACTGGTTATTGTCACGAGGCAATTAGTCTGACGCTTGCATTCATACAAGTATGAACAGATAGAAAAGATAAAAAAGCAGAAACGCAAATACTTAACAAAAATTTCATTTCATTGAATAAATTTAAGTATAAGGAGGCCGAAGCCATTACAAAAGGTAACCTTACTCTGCTGGAGGGACTTCTACATTGGCCGCCTCCTGAGCCTCGGAGCCTCCTCGGCAAGCCTATTAGGCCGGCCTCCAGTTGGCCCCCCAAACTCTGCCTCCAATGAAGAGATGTACAGAGTGGGGTGCACCTCCTTCAGTCGACCCAATAAGCTTTAGGCACTCCATGAGGCCCAGAAATTGGCGAAGTCGTCATACAGGGGATGGTCTTCAAAGTGGTCGATGAAGTTCTAGACTGCCACCTCCCCTGCAGACTTCAACTCCTCCTTCAAAGAGGCAGTCTCCTCTGACTGAGCCTCTGCCTTCCGCCTCAGCTCCGCCTTCTCTTTGTTGGAGGCCTCCAGAGCCTCGGTGGCGAGCTTGTGGTGTTCATTGGCATGATCAAGCCGCCAAGTCACAGCGGCCACTTGGCACTCCACCTCGTACAACTCCTTCTTCAGCTGTTCCGCCTCTCCTTTGGCGGCAGTTAGCTGGGCCTCAGCCTCCTTCTTCCCCTCCTCCGCCTACGTGGCCTTGGCTTGGGCTGCTCGCACGGCATCCCCGTAGTGCATCGCCTCCTCGAGGCGCTTGGCGAGGTCCTCTCTCTTAGAATTCAGATCCTTCACCAAGCCCTCAAACTGGATGCTTGTACTCAGGGCCCGAGCCACGCAGGCACTGTTCGCAGCCACCAAATCCTTAGTCGTGCAGGAGCGGTGTGGTCCCTCCACTCCTCCGTCCAGTATTTGCTGTGGACCACCGCCACCGTAGCTGCTTCTGGAGGAAGAGCCTCCAACACTTCCCTTACGGGCTCTTCGGGATTGGTGCCCAGAAAGTCGACCTCCTTAGAGGGACGGGGCATCTTCCTCTTTTGCTGCCCCGGCACTCGATCAATTGGCACTGCAGCCAGGGTGTTGTGGCCTGGGCAGTGGCAGGCTCAGTTGGGACGGGCCTTTTCTCCGGAATGGTCACCCCGGTGGGAATTGTGGTCTGCCTCAGAGCAGGGATTGGCCTCGCCACAGTTGGGCATTTTGGAGGGACGGTACTCTTCTTGCCCTTCCTCCGGATCCTCCAGTACCTCCTCCTCCGTCGGAGGTTGAAGTCTCTTACTGGCTTCCACCAAATCCTTTATTTGCTTTTTGTACGAAGAGGAGGAGGTCTTCAACGCCCATGCCTCTGCCATCATCTTCTGGATGGTCCTGAAGTCGAGGCGCACCGGCATCTTCTTATTAAAGTTGTCTGCAAAGAGCGAATAAGGAATTAGTACAAGTCTTGAGAGTTTGGAATAAAAAGCAAAGACTTCGGTCCAGTTACCTTGGGATGCCATCAGATCGTGAGTAATGAAGTGGATGTTCTTTCGGATCAGCCGATGGTAAGACCTCTTCTTTTGAGGCAGCCGATAAATGACGCAAATAGTGTCAAAGTCCTCGGATGACAGCTCGCACCGAGGAAGAGCACCTACCAAGGAAATATAACTGTTAGGCACAATTCGAACCGAAGAGAAATATAAGGAAAAATAACTACTGTACTCACTAAGTGTTGAATACTTCATCGGGACCGTAAGAGGCGCCAGGGGGTCCCCCTCCATCGTGTCTCATCGCCCTGCGGCCCAGCACCACAGCTCTTCCATTCTTTGATGGAGCTCCGCAGATCGAGCACGAATGGAGTGTGGGAACCCCAGGAAGTAAGGTAATACCATCCCCGGTTCTTATCCCCCCCCCCCCCCCCCCGGTAGTAACCTTAGGTATATAAAGGGTCTGGAAGACAGAGAGGGGCATCTCCATCCCTAATGACGCCTCTTTCCACGACATCCAGGAGCCCACCATTTGGCTCCAGGAGTTCGGATTGAGCTGCATCGGGGCCAGCTCATAGGATCTAAGCACCATCCTAAAGAACGGGTGAACTGGCAGCCTAAATCCGACCCTAAGGATCGCTTCGCTAATGGCCACACAGCCCGACCTAAGGTAGCAAGCTCTCTCTTCCGGCCCGGGGAGGATCAAATCTATGCTATCAGGATCCTATACTCTGTCCTAAGTCTCCCCAAGTCGGCCTCTCTTAATTTAGATGGGTAGTCCGATGTCCCCCAATGCACAGACGTATCTATTGGGCTATCCAGTCGCTTCCATATATTTTCTCCCCTATTATTGCCCTAACTATTTCTGGGGAGGTCGCCACAACGGGCTCGTCTACCCTCACTAGTTCTAACCCCCTCCCCGAACCAGAACTTCCCTCCGAGGCCATTCTTTCAAAATTTAAAAGCCCTAAAAGGTATGAAACTTACGAGTTTGAAAGTTTTTCCTAGCCGGAAATGGTGTAAGGTCGCTAGAAGTTCTGTTTTTTCGCCAAAGTTGCTTAGAAAACGCTGGAAATCGCCAATTACGTGAGAGCAAAGTAAATTGTTTGTTTCGCAAAGGTAGAAAGCCTGAGAAAACCTCAGAGTCCTCCTTTTATAGAAAGACAAATCCGATCTCCACTGTCGAATTCAAATGCTATCAATCTAAGTCGTTCATCGCATCTTCCATCTAGGCCGTTGAAATGAAACGCCATATTTGATCTACGCCCAAGATGTCGCTATGACGTTCACGCTTACTTAAAACGTGTCACTTCGGTTACAACCAACCGTTAATAATAATAAGTAGCTGCAGCAGCCTTTTAGGAGAATGGGCATGGCACCCAACTATCACCTTGGAAACACGCAACAGTTGTCAAATCATTTGACGTTTGAATCGCCTCGGATCGAGCTCCTCACTCAAGCTTACAAAGCTTGGACGCACCTGACGCGACGCCCCCTGTGGGTCATCGCCTCGGATGCTGCGTTCCCTCCCATGCTTTACAAAGTTTTAGCCATCTCCCAACGCATCGGCCCTATGGCTCAGCGTATCAGTGGCAGATGAGTTTCTCACTCAACTTTACAAAGTTTGGACGCACCTGACGCGTCGCCTCGGATGCTGCGTTCCCTCCCATGCTTTACAAAGTTTTAGCCCTCCCAACGCGTCGGCCCTGTGGGTCAACACACCATATTTATGAAGCTTCGACGCATTTGACACGTCGCCTGCGTTCCCTTCCATGCTTTACAAAGTTCTAGCCCTCCCAACGCGTCGGCCCTATGGGTCAGCGCACCATATTTACGAAACTTAGACGCACCTGATGCGATGTCTCATGAAGATGACCGCCTCGGACGCTGCGCACAGTAACGACAACTTTGGCACATCTGCCTACGATCATGACCTCGATTACTGCATAAAAATCAACCCCCAAGCTCCCACAAGTCGCAGTCCGGTCGGGAAAGCAAGTCCACCCATGATATAAATATTCATACCTGGACTTGGGGGACCACTGTTACGTTCCGATCTGATATGCCTCGGAACGCTCACCACCATATATTCCGACCTGGTAAAGACCCGTCCGAAGTGTTTTCGAAGTGATGTCATCAATGCCTGCAACCTAGTAGTACTGACCTGACCAAAAGTACCTCGCCCCCGAAGCTGAGGCCAAGTGGACCCCGATTAGAAGATCCGCCGCCAATTTCAGAAAGAGATTTGTGCCAAGATATTTCATGCACCTAAGGTTTAAATTGATTTGACGTCTCCATGAAGTTAGATGATATGACTTATCAATTTTATGTCAATTCAACTCAGAAGAGACAAGCTGTCCGCCCACTTTACAAACGCGACTGATTGACGCATATGAGCGAACGCCTCATACCGTCAGATGTATACATGCGTCCCACATCCAACGGCTCATACCACCTATAAATACCCAAGGTTTGGCAAAAGATAAAGGTAATGAAACTCTTACTATATAGCACTCCATAGCAAGCTTATATATTTTCTCCTTCCCCATTATCATTGATTTGCTCAGCCCCTGGGTCTTGTTCCGACCACTTAAACCTGATTTGACCGTCGGAGTGTATACGACCGCCACCACCCTCACTGGTCCCGGTCGTGTACGTCTAACCATTCCCTGATTGTGCGCAGAAAGGAATACGTGAAGTAGCTCTCGGTTGGCATGTGAAAAAACCAATTTTCGAGGTCATCAGTGAGGAAGACATTTTTGTTATGCTAATGATACTTGTACTTGCTTTGTCATTCTACCCAAGGTATGAACGGTTATCGCTTCCCAGATTAAGTAAAAGTGCAAACCTATAATTGCGAAAGTTGGAATATTGACATCGTTCCCTATTTTTGATATGATTTACTAGGACAATTTAATCTCCTAAAAATAATTGTACGAAAACTATCATTTTAATCATTTTGCCTATTAGGTTTGGATCGATTTTGACTTCAACCAGAAACCAAAATCAAATTAATCGATTTGAACAAATTTCAATTCAAACCAATCCACTTTAACTCTCAAACCAAACCAATTTAACATAGGAAAAAATTTATAAGTAAAAATTTAAGTATCAAACATTTCTAAATTAAGAAAAACAAATTTCAAACTTCAAAAATCAAATTCTTATTTAAATTTATTTCTGATTTATTTAATTAAATATATTTAGATCATAGATTTATACAATTTGATCACAAATTAACGATTTAGTTGGTCACTTATTTTTTTTGTCACAAATTAAAAATTTTATTTCATAAATTATTTTTCGATAACAATTCAAAAATTTTATAGATTACAATTTGTTCACCAATCACAAATCAAAATATTTATAAGTCACGATTTATTGATCACAAATTATAAATATTCGAAACTTACTATACAGTCACAAATTATCAAATTATCAGTCACAAATTAACCATTTTTCAGATCACATTATTTCATGTTCACAATTTATCATTTTCATTGATAACATATTATTTATTAACTACAAACTAACCAATTTAATGGTCACAATCCAATATCGCCACGGAAACATCAGATCACAGGCACACCAATCCCCGCCCAAATGCCAACAAAATTGTCGCCCAAAACGTCAACAAAGTCATCGCGCAACGACCAACAAAACCATCGCCTGCACAATCACACCACCACCACAACTCAACAACATAACATAGATGCACTACCATCAACACAGACACAACCCAACAAACCAAAATTGAATGATCAACACCATGACCGAAGCTAATGCCACCAACTAACGCTGGGCCGATTGCATCTCCTTCATTTCCAAATCCGACACCAAAACCAGTTTCAAACCCAAATTCGGCGCCAATCCCACACACCACCGATCTACTCACCCTCGCCACCAAACCTAAATTCAACGCCGTTGCAGCAAACCACTGATCTACCAACCCAAATCCAACAATGATCTACAAAACCACCGATGCGACGAATAGAGAGTCAAGCGACGAAGAGAGACAGAGTGGCAAAGAAAAAGACGGGAATGACGAAGGACAGCCTCGATGTGTAAAAAATTCACTGGGACAAGAAGGCTGAGAATGGCTAAGGGCGACGTCACTCCATAGCGGCGTTGGCTGTTTTGGATCGACACCACTGCAGTGGTGGCCCCTTCAGCACCGACGCAATGGGCTGCTCCGGGGTAATGTTGCTGCTGTGGTAACGTCTTCAGGGCCATGGTGTGGTGTAGACGTCGTGAGCAGCATAGTACCTGCGGTATCGACGATGATGTGCAAGAAAGAGAAGTGAGAGATGGAGAGAGAATGGAAAGGATGAAATAATTACGATTGTTGTATATTTAATTTTTACATATATATCAATTAATTAATAAAACGTTTGATTTTTGAACCATTAAACATCCAATTTAATTTTAGAATTCTGAATTTTTAAAGTAAGGTGTGGTACAATTTACACTTTAATATAAACCAAATCGATCTGATTTTGTTCGACTTGATTGATAGATGGACTTTTAGTTCAAATTAAATTTTTTTAAATGAATTTGTCCAGATTTTAGGCTCACTAAAATTACAAAAACTAAAATAACCAAATAATTTTTTATTGAATGAAGTATTGATTAACAAATAAAATTAGGTAAATAGAGACGTATCAATAATTTAAAAATCTTATTGCTTTTTCATATATTATATTGTCTGAATGCTTAAATATGAAAAAAAAAAAAAATAAGTATGACATAATAACTTTTTAAAAGAAAATTTCCAATACTATTACTTACTGACAACCTCATAAATTGAAAAAGAGAATCAAAATCTAGTTATGAAATTATAATTTATCTTTTAATTTTTATTTTTCTTAAAAAAAATGTGAACACGAGTTAGTTAAGTTGATTCAATTAACCAACCGTTTAATATTACAAATTATGATTGAACTGACATATCATGATTTTGTTTAAAAAAAAAAAAAAAAAACTAAATATTTGTGTCAAACCGATCCGAGTCGAATCGATTTGATTTAGTCAATTTTTTTTCCCCCGACCTAATTTTTCATAAGACCATTAATAAGTTTTCTTTTCTATTTAAATAGTCTTATCTAACATTATCTAAAAATGGTGGGAAAAAAAAAGTGTGGCAAATAGGAATGCCCATTTATGGAAGTATTCTCCATGTGCAAAATATGGTTGTAAGCATGACTGGTTAACAACCTAAAGTGTATCGAATAGGCTGATGACTATTTTTGATAAAAGAAAAATGAATCAATAATCAACTTTTGACTAATCTAACCTTCTCCGTCCCTCAAGACCAACGAGGAATAGTATAGAAATATTCAATTATCGTCCATCCACTACACCTTTTGACCTGAATCTTCCTCCAGGAGAGTACTTTCTAAAAAATA